CCCGCCCCCTCCCCGTGTCTCTAACATATCTTCAGTCTGTGTTTCTTAGCTACTTGGCAGAATTGGGAGATGAAATGTAGAATAAAGATCAAAAGCAGGACAGATTCACAGCAGACCGGACATAACTGATGCAGTAGAAATGTGTGTCTAATGGTAGCATTGAATAGCTAAGTGCCAGGGTGACACTTACGATTCAGAGTGACCTGTGCCTGACACGGCACCAGGGCCTCAGCAGCTCAGCACAGACCTGGTGCCCGAAGCGAGGTGGGGGGGATGAGGTGAGGAGTGGGACTGGTGGTGAGGCCGGCCCCTGGAGTCTGACTTAGGAGGTGGCATAGCCTGTATGTGGGTGGAGAGAGAGAAGAGGGCTGGGTCTGCTGGCAGTGGAGGGCAGGGCTGCCCAGGAGGGTGTCTGAGTGGAGAGATCCTGAGCCAGAGGGACGCAGGCGAAACAAAGGCAGGCGGCAGCTTCCCTTTCCTGCCCTGGATGCAGGTTCCCAGCATACAGGCTCTCCTTTCCATCCTTACTGTGGACACTGTTTTCTCCTCAGGCCGCCTCTCTCTCGATTCCCAGGAGGGGGACAGCGGCTTGGACTCTGGGACAGACCGCTTTTCTTCCCTCAGCGAGGTGAGTGCCAGCGGGGGAGGGCCTGCATAAAGGTGAGGTCACATGCTGCGCCCCTTTGGGCACCTGATGGATCTGCTGCTCGCCGGGGCCACCAAGGCCTCGGGCTGTCACCTGTGAACTTCTGTGGATCTGTTCTGAGGACTTTAGTCACGGCTCCAAATGAAGGGTTCAGATGCACCCTAGATGCCAGCTTCGTGCCCACCCACCCCCGGCCCCCCGCCACTCTTCTGTCCACAAGGTCACTCTGGTCAACAGTGTAGGGAAGGCAGTACGAGACTCTGTTGTTGACTCCAGCAAGCCGAGCCTTGGAGTGTAAGGGAGCAGAGGCCTAAGTCACCTACAGGGTCACTGCCCCAATAGCCCTCCATGACTGGGAGCAGCATCGTCCCAGGTGAGCACGGTGAGCCTGACCCCGTCAGAAGTGGCAGCGCTGGCTCTCGCCTCGTGGAGCTTGTTCTCCCTGACTGGCAGCTCAGCTTTTCTGAAATGGTCCAGGAACTTCAAGTTTGGCCTCAAAGGTTAGCCCTCCCACGTGTTCTCAAGTTGCATACTCAGTGTAAAAATCGGACTGAACAGAAGAGAGGCTAATGATATTGGCAAAATATTTACTTAGGCAGGTTAATTAAATATTTGAACAAGTATTTTAAGCATGTTACAAACCTAATAACGGGTAACTTGGTATTTGACTTCCTGCTCCCGTCTTTCCATGGGAAAGTGCTGAGTCGAAAAGAGAAGACCCCCAGGCAGGAAAGTTGCCAGGAAAGAGGAAGCAAGGTCCCAAATACACAGGACCCTGAGGCCTTGGCGGCTGGAAGCAGCACAGCCCAGTGGCGAAATGTAGGCAGCAGGCCAGGACGGCCTAGGTTGGACCCATAACTCTTGGACCTTCAGCAGATAATAGAGCCTGTCCAAGTTGTGTTCTCAAAAAGCGAGAGGGCTTACAGTATCTGCTCAAAGGCCTGCCTTGAAAATTAAATGAGATAATAGGTGTATGATCGAGGGCTTTTAGTATAATGCCTGGTGCATTTATACTCACTGATAAGTTTGGTTGTCACCACCAAATGAACTGGATGAGCCCCCTTGCTGAATTCTCCATTCCTCTAGTCATTGATGAATCGGAACTCGGTACTCTCAGACCCTGGGCTTGACAGTCCTCGCACCTCCCCCGTGACCATGGCCAGGATGACTCCACACCACAAACGCCAGGGCTTGGAAGTGCCAGTCCCCCTTACCAGCGAGCAGGTGAGTGAACTCCCTGGGTGTGCAGTTCTCTCCCCTTTTCTGAAGTGAGAGTGCTCCAAGTCGGTCCCTTGAATAAGCCGAGTTGTTCCGGACACTCGAGACTTGAGACAGACACTTGCCTGGAGAACAAATAGAAAAGAAAGAGCAAGGTGCGAACAGATACATGAAAGGAAGGGTGCTCAGGTGCTGTGGCAGTCAGTGGTGCATCACCGGGAATTCCATGAGGTATGAAGAGCAAGAGCCAGTTTTTCCTTCAATGCTTGTGTTGTTGTTTGGTGCTATCAACTCGGTTCCAACTCATAGTGACCCAGAGTACAAAGGAACGAACCACCACCCAGTCCTGTTCCCGTGCCGTCCTCACAATTGTTCCTGTGTCTGAGCCCAGCGCGAGGTTTCCAGTGTCTGACCATGGCGGGCTGCTGTCTGAAGGTTTCAGTGGCTCACTCCTCCGCAGTGGGCAGCCTGATCCTCGTCTGGAAGCGCTACTGAGAGCTGTGCGCTTTGGGTGACGGGCCTGGCATTTGAAGTGCCAGTGACATACCTCCAGCGTCACAGCACACACGCCACCACGCTGCGACACCCTACCAAGCCAGTGGGGAATGTCTGTGCAGGAAGGAAAGTAGATTTGTTCCTTGTTTTCCCGAGAACACTAATTTTCAGTTTTCTCGTCTACCAAAATTTTATTTGGATCCTTAATATAGGAAACTGATCTTAAAATAAAACAAGTAAAACATTTAAAAAGCTCAACTTCCCCAGGTTGTCTTCGGATCAGCCCTCTCCTCCCTCCTTTGGTGCATCCATGGAGCTTTGAGGTTCTGCAAAACCCAATTTCAAAGTCACCACTCTCCAGGACAAAACTGGGTCTTGGGCGGGAGGTTGCAGGAAGGCCAAGTTTGGCTCAATGCAAAAAGCTTCTAAAACCTAGCCCGTGTAGCAGGGAGATGGGCTGGCATCCGAGAATTGCCTGTCATTGTTCAAGCAGTAGCTTCGTCACTCCCCGTTGGGGACATTGGGAAGAGATCTCTTATTTTTGTACAACTGTGTTTCTTAAGCTTCATTCTGCCACCACCACCCTTGTGATTTGCGTCATACCCTAAAGACCACCGTATAGTGTTCTCTGGGTGTTTTTCTGTAAGCTCTGTTTACTTTAACACCTTTGAAGGAAATCATAAGTCACTGCCTTCAACTGAAACCAATATCATGTACTGTAATTGTAAAGTAAACATAAAAATCAATATGCATATAGAACCATCTAGGCAGACTGCATCCTTCTATGTTGCAAAGAGAAAAATGGCGTCCTTCATAAAGTCTCTGGACAAATACATCCGAAACTGATGCTTATAGCTTCTGCCCTTTTCTATTCTTTTAATTGTGTGCTAAAATTTTACTCAAAAAATTGAATAGATAAATTCAAACAAACTAAAAAATAAACTCTAGATCCCGTTGTTTCCCAAAGACACCAATGAAGCCTAAGGTTCATCGTGGTTTTGTAGCCGCTGTTACGCACTGCTATTGAGTTGATGCCAGCTCATAGTGCTGTGAGAGATATGCTGCCCTGAGACTGAAACTCCCTCCTGCGGTGAGCCAGAGGACAGAATGAGAACCAGAAAGGCACTCACTTATTGTTATTATTAATCATTTTATTGGGAGCTCTTACAGATATTATAGCAATCTATAATTCAGTTAGTTCATGCATCATTTTACAATTGCTACCACCATTGGTTTCAAAACTTTTTTCTTCTTGAGCTCCTTGATATCAGCTCCCCTATATCCCCTCCTTCCCCAACCCTACTCCCCAAGAACCCTTATTATTATCTATTATTATTATTATCATTATCATCTCTTACACCATCCATTGTAGCCGTTCACCTGCAATTCTGTTTTCATTCCCCTCAAGTGGGGTTATACAGTCATTGCTGTTAGCTCCCCTTTCCCCCCTCTCTTCCCATACCCTCAGGGAACTATTACTCCTGTTAGTATTTCTGAAGGGTTATCTATCTTGGCTATCATGCATCCAGCGCTCTTAATTAGACAAATGAGCATAATACGCAGGTCTAACAAGATTAATGAGGTAAAACAAAGACCATAATAGTAAGGGGAGGAAATATTACAAACTAGAGGATAGCTATGTTTCATCAGTGCTATACCGCCCCCTAGGTTTATCATCCCTTCCGTGTGGCCCTTCTGTGAGGGACTGCCCATGCTCACTATCTTAGCGTGAGGGCCAGGGTTACTGAATTCAGGACTCTGTTACTGAATAGTCTGTCTAGATACAGCGTTACTTCATTCAGCATTCAGTGCTGTTTAATGGCATGTCCAGGTACCGTCGTCTTCAATTTCACATTACTTCCCATACCAGAAGGCATTAAGGTGGTTTTTTGCAAAGTGTGGGTGTAGCCTAGTGGTGGGTTGTAAAATCAGAATCACAAAGGACACCAGGTTGCTGGTTAGATAGAAACTGGTGGCTCCTCCAGCTCTGGCTTCAGCTCTGGAGTAGAATTCACTCCCATGGCTCAATTTTTAGCCAATCAATCGGTGTAAGGGGGAACAACAACACTAGTGAGGTACACACACACCTTAGAGCAGTCAGCCCAGAAGCAGTAGGGGAGAAAGAAGAGTGGAGACAGAAAATGGAGGAAGTGAGATAGGCAATGTTACACTGAAGGGGGAGAAATGATGAGATCAAACAAAATGTGTATGACTTGTAAAACTGTCAGTCTGCCCATTAAACTTTCACCCATTTGCAGTAAAACCCCACAGTCATTTTGGATGGCGGGGGAGATGGCACAGGAAGAAAATCGTGAACAATAATCTTAATGTTTAGCCAATTCGTCACCAGTCAACCAACCTGTTTGTCAGTGAGTTAGTTAAACCTACCTCTGACAGTCTCTAGAATCTCGTCTAGTTTTTCTTTTTCTCCCTCTCATGAACAAAACCGAGGCTGAATTCCTCCCATCGTGAGCCTACTCTTAAGTCTTCCAAGGGAACAATCGGGGCTTGAAGCAGCCCAAGCAAACACTCGCCTCACTTTTCCCATTAGAAATGTGTGCTGGACTCACGTCTCATAGAGCTTCCAGGTCTCACGTCCTTTAACTCAGGAGGGCTCTTTATCAAGAGCGCTCCTTTTTCGGACTTAGGCGAGTAACCCCCTCACAGCCGCACCACAGCACAGACATCTCAGTTCTCTTGGATGGTGGTGCGATTTGGCTACATTGGGCTTCTCTCTGTAGAGTTGAAGGTTCTGTCTTTGTCTGTTGTGGCCCTCACGCTCTTCTGTTATGATTTATTCACAAGGCTCATTTCCCCACTTGAATTAGCTCATCTTCGCGTGTGAAGCACCCAGCCTGGTGCCTACGCACTCCATGAAGCCAGTGAGTGAATGAGGGAACACTTTGGAAAGGGACTGACCAACATGAACCCCAGAGTGTCATCGTAGGGATGGCCTACCTAAGTAAGACACATAACCCCTTCTGAGATCATAGTAATCGGATAGAATCGAGAAGAACTGTCCCATCAGGTCTCTCCCGTGAAGCCACAGTGGGGTGCGATCCACTGATCTTACATTAACAGCTGAGCGCTTAAGCACTGCACCACCCAGTCATCTCTCTCCCCCTACCCCCCACCCCACCCCTGTTTGTGTCTGTGAGTAGGTTCAAACCTCCAGCCCTTCAATTTGTAGGCTGGGCAGGGATTCGAGACCCCCATTACCTGTCAACAATGTGCATTAGTGATAACATACACAAGTGAGATCATGGGAGTGTGCTCCACATGGTTAGCAGTAGAGGGATGGGAGCATAAGCAACTCTCATGTTCTATAAGAAAGTTCTATAATATTTGATCTTTTAGTAAACATATTCTACTTTTGTAATCATATAGGCACACATGTAAACACTTGAAAAAAAATCTTACCCACAAAACCTTAGTGCTTTTCAAGTTTCACCAGAGAGCAAAGTAGAGCCAGAAGTGGTTCTCTGATTTCCACCCCCTTGGGATCCTGGACCTACAGGGATTCAAATAGTCTTAAGGGAGAGGAGGTTATTCAGCATGGTTCTGGGAAATGCAAATACAGCACCTTGGCCCTAGCTCTGTGGCTCTGAGCACCCCGTTCTGTCTCTGGGCCTCACTTTGTTCATTATGAGCCAGTGCTGGATTCAGACCTCAGCTCCTTTCCCGGTCTCATGTTTTATAGCTGCATATGGCATCCTGAGCATGGTGTCCAGGCTTGAGAACATGGCTGAGGAGAGTACCTTGGACCTGAACAAAGTGGACACAAGTCAGCCGGGAGTGGGTCCCAGAGGCAGAACCCACGTTGTAGGATCAGAGGGAATGAGGAAGAGAAAATTGAAAGTGAAAACCATAATTAGTTTTAAAAAAAATACTTGGAAAGTTGAGGAACCTTTAGGAGAAAAGCTTGTCCAGTGAAGTGTCCGAAAAGTCTATGCAACATGAAATCTTTTTCATCATAAGTGCAAAAAGGAGACCTTGCCCTGGCGGAGTGATTACGATTTGGGCTGTCAACTACACGGTCAGCAGTTCAAAACCACCAGGCACTCCTCAGGAGAAAGATGGAGCTTTCTACTCTCATAAGAATTACTGCCTCAAAAAAAAAAAAAAAAAAGAATTACCGTCTCAGAAACGTACAGGGGCACCTACAGGAACCTCTGTCCTGTAGGTCCACTTTGAGTCGGCAATGAGTTTGGGTTTTGATTTTTAATCAGTGACTTATAGATGGGGATTAGAATTTTATTAAGACAGACCTAGGCAGGAAAGAAAGAAAAGCCAGGTCAATTATTGGGGGCGTTAGACTAAATCAAGCCCACTGTCCATCAAGTCGGTCCTGACTCCTCATGGTAGATGCCCTGTGGGACTGAGTAGCGCTGCCCCCGTGGGTTTCCGAAGCTAGAAACCTTTACAGGAGATGGTTTTGAACTGTTCACCGTGTGGTTAGCAATTCCACTTGTAACCCACTACACCACCAGGGCTCCTGGGTTTTAGACAGGTGATGGGAATCTAGAGCCCTTGGGTGGCACAAATGTTAAGTGCTTCGTGAGTAGTTGGAGGTTGGAATGGGAAGAGCAGTACTTAGAGAGCCTGACTTTGGTGATAGAAGTGAAGCTAGAGGGAGATTGCATAATAGAATTTTGCAAGAGCAATGAGGACTTCATTGCAAAGACATTTTTCCAGCAACATAAAAAATGACTATAACACGCAGACTTTGCCGAATGGGATTCACAGAAATCAAATTAATTACATCTGTGGAAAGAGACAGTGGGGCCACAGCCACTGTGGAGAACAACTAGGAATAGAAATTTTAGACAATGTAACAAACTGCAACATTGTCCTAAAGTAGCAAGAGTCCTAACAGGAACAGACATATCTTTGCAGCACTGTGTTCACTATAGGAGGAAGTTGGAAACAACCCAATGCCCTTCAGTAGAAGACTGGATAAAGAAACTGGTGCGTGTACACAAGGAATAATATGCATCTCTGAAACAATGGCAAAAATGCATGGCATGGTTAGGCCTGAAGAACACTATGCTGAGTGAAATTAGCCAATCACAAAAAGACAAACATGAGGCTACTGTCATAAGATATATAAAACAACAAGAATAAAGACTTTCATACCAAAGGGAACAGACTAGAGATTGGCAAAGAGGGGAGTGCATGGGTGGGGAGGTGGTAGGATAGAGTGTTGGTGGGTGTTAACTTGGGTGAAATGGAAGTTAGTCGTCCACAAGAAGGAGAAGAGAAATCAAGCAGTGTGTGAGAGATAACTATCAGGATTTTATTAGTACCATATATACTCAAGTAAAAGCCTACCTGAATATCAGCCGATATTCGAAGCACCTAATTTTACCACAAAAACTGCATTAATGACTGAAGCAAGTGGACTTACAAACTTTCTATTTTCCTACTTCCCAGAAACAACCCAGTAAACAGTGTGGCTTTATCTGACCTCTGGCTAGACAAAGATGGAAAACTTCCATGAGGGAGAGGTCAAACAAACATCTACTCTCTATCTTATGATTTGTTTCTCCAGTACCCCACTCCCAAGGTACCATAATGTATTAGTCTAGGTACTTTGGAGAAACAAATCCACAGCAACTCACGTATAAGAGTTTTATGCAAAGAAAATGCATCACGAAAACATCCCAACCCAATGCTGCCCAAGCCCACAAGTCCAACATTAACCCATACCCAACACCAGTCTACAAAGTCCTTCACCTCACAAAACAGAGGCACTAATGCCGACTATAGGAGGAAAGCTGAGTCAGTGAACGTGTAAGCATCTCAGCACTGGCAGGGGTCTCCACATGGCTGCTCCAGCACCCAGGGCTGCATCGGGATAGATCCATGCGGCTTCTTGGGGATGTCTTGTAGGAAATCCATCTTGCAAACTGAACCAGGGAACTGCTAAGGCAGCTGCACCCGATGCAACCATCACAAAACAAGAGACCCGAGAACTAGAAAGGCGAGGCTTCACCACCCATTTATCCCTCCGCCTTACAACCAGCCCCACATGTGATTATCGGCCAGGCTGGCACAATTAACTAACTCAGTATGTTTTTCCATTGCTGTAGGGCTGCTTGGATTCCTTGTAATAGTGTTTCGTGTCTTTCTTTGTATGGGCCTTTTTTGTTCCTGAGTACTTTGTCTTTTGGAGGCTTTTGTAAATGGCATTGTTTCCCCGTGTCCTTTTCAGAGTTGTGGGCTAGTTTTTGTATGCTGACCTTGTATCCTGCCACTTTACTGAATCTTTGCCACTTTACTGAAGCTTGCTTGCTTCCTTGCCCTTTTTGGTGCCCTTCATTTCTGTTTCTTAGCTTACTGCCCTAGCTAGGGTTTCTAGTAGGGTATTGAATAAAGGTGGTGAGAGAGGGTGTCCTAGTCTGGTTCTCACTCTCTGCACTGATGCTGTTGTCTGTTGGTTCTCCTGGAGTGATAGGTTCTTAACTGTGTTGATTAACTCTCCCTCCCTAGATCTTTTGCAAACAGGAAAAGAGCATTTTCACTCACTTCCTATCTTCCTATGTCATGTGACCAGGCTGCCCTGCCCCACCCAGAAGCAGTTAACCTCCTACAGAGTGGAAATCCTTATTTCATCTTGTTCTCTGAAATTGGGGGTAGGGATGAGATGCCAGCTTTTACCAGACCCACGTGGCTTTCCTATGAGTGCTGCACTATTACTAAACAGACTTCACTGAGGGGGGTGAATCCCCTTGTCCTCTAACCTCTCATCTCTACAACTTGACTTTCCTTCCCAGGGTGTAGATCAAAGCTCAAAGCCTTTAATTATTGGCCCAGAGGAAGATTATGACCCGGGTTATTTCAACAACGAGGTAACGGTTTCCTGACTTTCTCCTTTCATCATTCTTCAGTCATACAAGCTGCTCTCAACAAGAGCAGTTTGACTGCGTCAGCTGGGGAAGAACGTCGGGGAGGGGGGCAGAGCTTATAAAGCTGGAGGGTTGGGGGGCGGGTGCTGGAACTAAAGCTGGAGCAGGCCACACATGCCCATGCTGCCTCAGCCCCTCAGCCATTCCCATCCCTATCCCTCTGCCTTCCAGAGCGACATCATCTTCCAGGATCTTGAGAAACTCAAGTCACGGCCAGCTCACCTGGGGGTTTTTCTACGTTACATCTTCTCTCAGGCAGACCCCAGCCCACTGGTAAGTCGGAAGCTTCATCCTTGACAGAGCTCGAGGGGCAGCTATTTTGTTGTCCCTGACACAATTAATACAGGGACAGGGGAGAAAGAACCAAACCAGGAAAACTCATTCTGGTTGCATTTTAGAAGTTTTCTTTGAGAAGATGGTTTTTCAACGACATTGGAGACAGACCGGTATGGGGACTTGGGGGGGAGGGGCATGGGCAAATACACCGTGTTACTGCAGAACAGTTTGGCAGAGGGGTCAGGCGACGATGGGTCTGAGAACCATAGGACCATGAGGGTGGAGGCTGGAATGTGCCCGGGCAGCAGCCAGACCAACCAAGCACCATCTGCTCAGCCACTTTCATAGCAGAGAGGTTGGTGTCCGGCTTTGTGTTTTGTTTCATTTTGGTTTTTTTCAGAATAAATTTCTTCCCCAAGGCATGGACTGCTTTTTTTTCCCCCTTCTTTCTTTCTTTCTGGGGATAGTACAAGCTAGAATGAATGAATGTCTGTTCAACAGACCTTGAACAACCATGTAAGTTCCAGGCCAAGTGTCTCAGAAGCATTCTTGAATGAAGAGGGCACATCACAAGAGAAATCAAGCAGGGAAAGTCTTGGGAGGCGATATATAAACCGGTGCAGAACACACCTGCAGTGTTTTGAGCCTGGGAGGGTGCAGGAGTGAGGAGTGAGTGCATGGGAGATGGCCAAGTGCATGGAGCATTATTTACCTTCTGTTTCTGAAACCCACGAGCCTGGGGCTTCCCGTCATGGGCCCTGTTAACACTTTGGACAGGAGAATGCTTTGCTGGGCTGTCCTGTATATTGTAGGGCATTTAGCCAAATCTCTGGCCTTCACCCACTAAGTGCCATTAGCAAACTCTTCCCCAATTGTGACCACTAGAAATGTGTCTAGGCATTGCCAGATGCCCCCTAGGACAGAAATTACCCCCTGCTGAGAACCCCCGTCTAACCCATTTCTCTCTCTCAGCTTTTTTATTTATGTGCAGAAGTTTATCAACAGACAAACCCCAAAGATTCCCGGAGCTTGGGGAAAGACATCTGGAATATTTTCCTAGAGAAAAATGCGGTAAGGCAGTCATCGAGTGTCATGATTTGATTATACTCTCTGGACCACTAAGAAAGAAGCACAGGAAAGCTTAGCAAAATTTGGAGGGTAAAGGTAGACAGTTCAGAGATTACAATTCCTTGATTCTGTTCCTTACCTTCTTCTCAAAAGACTGATGCCTCTTGTGTTCCACATCTAACGAAGGTCGGAAACACACTGCTTCTCTCAAAAGTGTTGGGAGAGAGGACTAGATGACACCAAATCCTATTTACTCACCCCTGAATCCATAGTCTGGTTTCCTCCAAGCCTCCCTGCCTTGCCCATCGCTGGGATGAAGAAATCGCAGCCCAGAGACAGAGCTGATGTAGAGTATTGAGCCCAGAGGGGGAACCCAGGTGTCTGAAGTTCAGTGTGACTTGCTATTTCTGCCCGGCGACAGGGCTAGGGGTCGGCAGGCGGGCACCAGGCAGACAAGCACTGTGTCGGGGCCCTGCAGCATGTATTTCCCACGGTAGACATCCTGATCTGATCAACTAAGCTCTTGGCAATCGAGTACCAGGGCGAAGAAATTGAGAAATAATCACTGTTTCCTCGGGATTTTGCTATTTTCCCTCTGGTGGGTAGTGAGCTACTCCCTTGTGGTGATTCTCAAAGTAAAAGCCAAAACATTCAGCCGGTTGGAAAAAATAGATAACTTTGAGGAGTTTTTCCTTGGGAGTGGGGGCTGGGGGGTGGGCTGTGCAGGAAGCCCATCATAGAGCTGACATGCTCACCAGTCCACTTGTGGAACAGCATCCCTGGGTCTTTCAATGAAGAGTGGAAGGATGGCATGTGACATGCTCAGACTGCCTTCTCAGCTTGCCCTGTACCCTTGGGATCCCGGGGCCCACATTGGAGAGGGAAGCATGGGGGGAGGTGAGAGAAGAAAGGCGAGGTGTATCTAGCGCAGAGCTGCCCTGCGTGGTCTCCCCCACGCCCATGAGTGTGTGGGCCTCACCACTTCTGCCCACGCTTCTGTCTTATAGCCTCTGCGAGTGAAGATCCCAGAGATGCTGCAGGCAGAAATTGGTGAGCTGGCTGCTGCTTTGGTCTTGCTCTAGTGCTCCTTCATGTGTCAAGCGCCCAGGGGGCTCCAGAGGCTGGAAGAGGGAAGTCCCTGTCTATGGGCTCGAGTAGTGGGGAAAAGAGTCCTGGGCCGGTTCCTGCAGAACACTTCACAGCCCCTGTGGGCGAGCCTGCCCAGGGCTTCTCACAGGAAGACTTGGGACATGGAGGTAGGGCACCTGGGCTCTTGTCATTCCTAACATCCTTCTATGTAACTCTCTGGGCCTCGGGGAGCTCATCTGTAAAGAGGAAATTGGTCTTGAACTGGGATTTCCAAGCCTAATTATCAGAATTCCTCGTGAACTTAAAAAAAAAAAAAATTTAAACACTGAAAGCAAGTCACTCCCTCCTGCAAACCCAGACTCTTGAGGTGGCTTTAGAAGCTGCTGGAAGCTGGCCCAGGATGAGGGCCTCATGGCTCCTTCTCATCCGAAGTATGAGTAGAGAGCTAAGTGGACAGGTAGAGAGGATGCCATCTGAGAAGTTAATCCCCGGAGATTTTCTGGAGGGTGGAAGTTGGGAGCAGCACTTGGAAACATGGTTTACAGCACAGGGGATGGATGAACAGAGCCGGCACCGAAGTGATGTGAGCATGGGCAGCCTCTCCCTGGGGCTGGCTGGGTGCAGGAGCAGAGAAGAGACATCTCTCCGGGTCTGCCGGGAGTTCATGTTCTGCTGAGTGTGAAGTGCTTCTCTGCCGCCTGGAGCACTAGCAGGGTCATGAGCCCCTCAGGCCTGGGCTTGGGTGTCAGGCATATGTGATGGGAGGGGCTTTAGTCTTTCTAATGGAGAGGGAGCTTCCAGGAGATCTTCTGGTCCATGCCTTTGTGCGTGGGCATCAGGATTCAAGCCCTACGGTCAGCAGTGTCCTGGTCGGCCAGGCTGACAGGAGGCCAGAGAGCCACCTCTCCTGTTCCAGCGAGCAGAAGTGCTTTGAGGTGCCCTCTCCCTGCCCCCCATACTCCCCATGCCCCCTCCCCTACTCCATTTCTCTCCTGTCTGGCCTCCACGACAGACCTGCGGCTGCGCAACAGTGAGGATGTCCGCTGCTTCCTCGGTGACGCCCAGGAGGCAGCCATGCCGGAGATCCAGGAGCAGATCCACGACTACAGGTGTGCCCTGCCCTCCGCCTCTGTATCCTTTTCTGACCCCACCCCCGGGGGGGGGGGGGGGGGGGGGTGTATGTGTGTGTGAGAGAGAGAGAGAGTGTGTGTGTGTGTGTGAGAGAGAGAGAGAGAGAGACGTCTCTCTCTGGGCATCCAGGGTCCAGAGTGTTTGGTGCGCTCCTTCTCTCTGGGTTAGGACAAAGCGCACTCTGGGCCTGGGCAGCCTGTACGGTGAAAACGACCTGCTGGACCTGGATGGGGACCCTCTACGCGAGCGCCAGGTGGCCGAGAAGCAGCTGGCTGCCCTTGGAGATATTCTGTGAGTCCACTTCCCACCCCCACCGCATGAACATGCCGCAGGGCTTTGGCATATGTGTGGGACTCTCTTCTCACCTCTCTCACACTTCTTCCCAAGTCTCCTTCCCCTGAAAGATGACGAGAGTCCTGCGGTGCAGGGTTCCAGGAAGTTGCACCGCCTGGAGCCCCTTGGAGTAATCCGGTGGTTTTGACAAACCGCAGGCTCCAGGAGCCGAGTGAGCTGCTGCTTCCCCTTCTGCTCCTCTCCCTGAGCTTTCTCCCGTCCTGCCCAGCGACCCGCACTGGGAGTCTCCTGGGGGCCGAGTTCCTGAGGAGGCAGGCAGCACTGACTGGGTTAAGGGAAATGGCTCCATTTTGACTAATCCCATGGGAAACCTAAGCTAACTGAACTTCCACAGGCCCCTAGTACAACTGCTTCGGTTACCTTCTTCCAGCTCCATTTCCCCAAGACCACAGGCCGCAACAGCGAGGCTTAGCTGGGGTCACCTCCAAGTGAGGAGGTGGGAGGTGGATGGGAAGTTCTTCAGCCCCCCGTACGACTTCTCCGAAATGTGGCTGTGTGCTTTTGATCAAGCCATTTCATCTCTCTGGGCCTGAGCTATAAAACAACAGCGGCTGGGTTAGATAATCTGTGTTCTCTCTGCCAGCTCGTAGAGTTTCAGCTGAGTGCCAAGCATTTGGGGCACTGCCATGATAACGGGAAGAGACAGCCATTACGTTGTAAATTACGTGGTACGTTAGAGAAAAATAGAGCCGCTGGGGTGAGTCTGGAGTACCCCAGCCAGTGGGCTGCAGTTTTAAACAGTGTTATCACGCGAGTGAGCCTCGCTGAGAAAATCACACGTGAGCAGTTGAAGAATTGAAGGCGTTTTCCTTGAAGCCTTTTGGGGCAAGCACATTCTAGGCAGAGGGAACAGCCAGGGAGAAGTCATCGCGTAGTTGGCGTCTTGGAGGAGCAGAGGGGACACCAGGGTAGCCAGGGTAGGTTGAGAAAGGTGGTAGGTGGCAGTGACAGAGGGGTAATGGAGGGGCCGTGACATCGCGCCTTCAGGACCGTTGTGCCCTTTGGTTTCCACTCTCCGAGGGCGGACAGACGGGGAGCCGCTAGAGCCGTGTGAGCCTCGGCTGTGGGCAGAGCATGGGAGGGTTTGGGGCCAGGGGTCAGGAGACCGTTGTGGGTATCCCGGTGGAAATGGCTGAGGGTGTGAAAAGCAGAGAGGCTGCAGGTACATTTTGGCAATAGAAGTCATAGGAGCACTCCCTAGAAGGGCGTGTGGGATGAGAGCGAGAGGAGTCCGGAGCCCGTTTGTGACGCACAGTCCTGAAAGGCCCGAGACTCCCTCAGGGCTTGTGGCACGTTGGCTGTGGCTCTGGGTGTGCTAAATGTGGCGTTGTTCTTGCGCATCGAGCGAGCATCTGAGGAGGAAAGTGCTGGCGTGCGTCTGGCGTGTGGTAGATAGAGACCAGAGACCTCTCACGGAGTGAGGCTTGAACCCTGCGTCTCCCTCACAGTCAGATGGCAGTGACACCCCTCCCCCTGGCACTCAGGGATGGCGGCAAGACCTGACCATGCCTGGCCCACAGGGAGCACGCAAAAGTTAGCTTTCCCTACTCGTGATCATTCCTCTTTTAAATAAGTCTCTTGGGATCGGGCCTCAATCCTCTCTGCTCCCTCACCTTTTTTCCTCCTGCCTCAGCGCCACCCAGCCCTTCTCCTGGCGTTCTAGGTGGGAGCAGAGAGAAGCCTGGCCCTGAGCTTGCCGCATCCCCTCCTTGCAGCTGGTCAGGTGTCCCCAGCTGGACTGCGCAGCAGAGATGCCCTCGGGCACTCAGTGGGACTTCTTATCACACTCGTCCTCTCATCCCTGTCAACCCTCCCTTCTTCCTCCAAAAAGGCCTTACCCTCCCCGGTGTCCACGCCAGCAGACAGGCCTGTCTTTGTAGTCTGAGTCATCTTTTCTTTCTGTTCCAGGTCCAAGTACGAGGAAGACAGGAGGTACGTGAGTCGACTTCCCAATCCAGTAGAGGAGGGAGGCAGCATGAGCTACCGGACTTTCCGGCTCGGCCAATCACTGGGGCGTCCCAGCACTGTAGGACCCCCAGTCTAGCCAAGTTCCCAGGTGGATGTGTGAGCTCACCCCCTGGGTCATAGGTTCAGCCTTGGGAACCTGGACTGGTGTTCCTCATCCCCACCCCCTCTGAGCGGTTCCCTCGGGGCACGTTCAATCTGGTGTTCTTCTTCAGCATCAAAGGAGCATCTGCGTCGGAAAGTCCCATTCCCATACCTGACTTTCTGTTTTCCACCCACGTTAGCCCTGCTCCACCCTCCCCCCACCCTCACCCCCACCCCCACGAAGTAGTGGAATGGGGCTGTATTGGCCAGGCCTGCGGCACACGCACATGTCTGTCATGGTTCTCATCCCCTGAGAGTGCACACTCACGCAGGAAGCGAAATGGGCTAGAGTCTGTGTCAGGAGACTGGGGCCAGGACAGAAGCATCTGCTACACCGAATCCACACAGGATAATCTGGCTGCAGGGCAGAGGGCCAAATGCATTTCTGTGCACAGGGCTCTGGACAGGTTGCCATTGATGTTTGTGCTGGGGTGAGAGGGTGGGTGAAGACACTAAGCCTTTGCTGAGCATGGGCGGGCATCCCCCCCCCCTTCCCCTGGTACACACCCCTAACATACGCACACCCCTGAAGATAAGCGCTTAGACGGGAACCTGCCCCTCAGGTCTGCCTGTGGCTAGTTTGCTCACATTGCAGGGAACTGGCATCCCATCCCTTTGTTAGGAAGAGAATGAAGTTTCTCTAGAGCCACAGCAGCCAGGACTGGGGACGGCCCCCTACCTACATATCGAATTTGGTTATTCTAAACTCACTGTCGGCTGGGGAGTGGCAATGAGGTGGTTTGGAGCAGGGCTCTGGCCCTTCCATCTGCCAGCTGGGAACACTGGCCAGAATGTCCTGCGTCACGATGCGTGCTTCCTCTCTAACAGTGCCCCCATGGACTTTGCCCTCAACACCTACATGAGCCATGCTGGGATCCGACTTCGAGAGGCACGACCTTCCAACCCAGCTGAAAAGGCCCAGGCTGCCCCTGACAAGGACAAGTGGCTACCTTTCTTCCCCAAGACCAAGAAGGTGACGGAGCTATACTAGCGTTGTTCTCTGCATGAGGCAGGCTGGGGAAGCAGCTGCCTTCAAACTCAGCTTTGTGGTTAGGGTACAAACAGGAGCCCACCTTCCAGTTAGCTGTTGAGGACCATAGGTGGGGAGGCAGAGATTGTTGCCTCGTTTGGGTATTGAGACCTCCTCCCAACCCCCATGCCTCCTGTCTCAGCAGAGCAGCAACTCCAAGAAGGACAAGGATGCCTTGGAGGACAAGAAGCGAAACCCCATTCTCAAATACATTGGGAAGCCCAAAAACTCTTCCCAGAGCAGTGAGTATCTGGGGGGGAGCAGCAGCCTTGAGCATTCCTAAGGCAGGGACGGCCGCCCCCTCACACTCCCTCAGACCAGGGTGCTGGCAGGGGCCCCACCTCTTCTGGGAGTCACAGGCCCGCCTGTCAGTTTGGTCACTTGCTCCACTCGCCACCTCCAGTGCCAGTTCTTTGGGGTACGGACCGACGCTTCAGGGTGTCCGTAGTTGGGTCTCCTAGGATCTCAGAGCAGCCTGGGAGGAATATCTATCTGCCCCTTAGCAACGACGGCTGACTGATTACATACGCCCTTTCACCTTCGTTCAAGGTACTTGCCTGTACTGAGTGTTGGGAGTAGCCCCAGCCCCTCGGTAGGGACTTGAGTTACTACTGTAGAGAACGGGGTTCTGCCAAAGGCCGGGTGGGGGTCAGGTCTGGAAGCCAAGGTTCCCCTGGTGTCATCAGTTACCCAAAACTCAGTTGATCTCCCTCCAGTTCTGCATCTGTCTGGAATTGTAGCTGCCCCTCCCAGTTAGTATCTTAGCTCACAGTTTCTGTGGGGACCTGGGCTGGCCTGCTGCCTCTTCTGAACCTGCTGCATGGGGAGTGGGGGTTAGGGTGGGAGTGCTGGAGGGACTCCTATAGATCAGCCCAGATTTTTGCCACTGCCTTTCCATTTTCCAGCTTGGTGTGATTTTTATTTTGGCTCTTGAAACATTTATTTGACTTTTCATGGTTTACTTTTGTTTTTGTTTGTTTTTCTTTTAGCATTTCATATTCCCTTGTCCCCTGTGGAAGGTAAAAGGCTCATTTTCTGTGGGTTTTTCTTTGCATTCGCATTGAGTTTCCATTCCCCAAATCTTTTCTCTCCTCCTCCTTCGTCTGCCTCCCCTTCTGTCTCTCCCCCTCCTTCCCATCCCTTCACTCCACTCCTCTCACACTTCCCTCTGTGCTGCTAAAGCTGCTGTGTGTGACAAACTCATGCCTGAGGACTCTTGGGACCAGACACCCCACCACCATCACCCCCAGGTAGAGCTCATCCTGGGGGTTCTGCCAAAGGCCAGCCTTCTTGGCCTTTGGTTCGGGTTTCCACAGCCTCGGGCTTTTTGGTTTGTGTTGTTCTCGGTGTTCCCATCATCTTCCATGACCGGGGCTCCTGGAGCCCAGGGTGGGATGTAAATAGGGAAAGTGCTCACAAATTGAAGCACCCTTCAGCTTTGCAGCCCCGATGGCGTCGTGGGTTTATGCGTCGGGCTGCTAGCCATGGGGCAGCAGTTTGAAACCACCGGCCGCTGCCAAGAGAAAGACAAGAGCCCCTACCCCGTAAGGAGTCCCTGTCTGGGAAAGCCATGGGCTGCTCTAGCCTGCCCTGTGGGGCTGCTGGGAGCCAGGATCACCCACAGTGAGTGGGGGAAGTGACTCAGACATTTATTTTCACTCAGAATAAGTTGGGATTTTCTTAAGTTAAATGTTTTTCATAAGTTGGTAGGTCTCAAACAGTTTTGCTTTGGGCTGTTTTTATTTACATTATCTGACCTTCAGCATAGCACTGCCTTCTTTGTTTTTACTCTTAGTTTTGCCAGCACTGTATAACTAGCAACAGTTTTAAAAGATGATCCTAAATACATTTTAAAGCATGTAGTAAGTTCTAGAATCATGTAGTTTACACAGACACACCCACATGCCAACTCTGTTATACCTAGCAGCATACACATTGAGGCGTATACATGTGTAAGTACACACCTGGATTTAAGAATATGGTATACCTTCACAAGGAGCTTAGGACCTAGATTTAAGGGTCATTTCCCATCAACGAGGCCCACATGTGATTAACATGTTTTAGGTCTGTGTGTTCCTGGGTAGATCCCAGCCATGGAAACCCAATGGAGCAGTTCTCCTTCAAAGGGCCTGGCAACAGCAACAATTTGGTCTGGAATTCTCTCTAAAGTTCCCAGACCCAAAGACTAGAAAATAATGGTGACATTTAGGCTCAGCACCTAGACTCCCTGTTTGTTAGTGAGAGTCCTTGTGAATAGCACAGAACTCAGCTTGATTTCATTTGCCGTTCAGAGAACGGAGGGTGTGGAGCAACGACTGCGTGACTCTTCTCCCGTTCCTCTGGGTCGTAGTTAGTCTCCTTATGAAAATGACTTGACTTTCCAGGCGGCCCAGGGCCAAGGGAACAGCAGAGTCAGTCAGTGGCTTTTGGTCATAGGGTGTTTTCCCAGGCTCCACTTCACCCTAGCCCGGGGCTCAAGCTACAGCACTGAGTCTGGCTCCTGCCTTGTCCTGCGGCCCGGGTGCACAGCATGAAGCTCATCTGGCCCAGGTCGAAGTTGAGTGTAAACATAATGGAGTAACAGTCACCACAGCCTGTCCGAGGCCACGGGCAGGATCCCTGGGTGTTTTGCTGCCTTGCTCCCATTTACCCTGCCCACTGGGCTCCGACAAAGCAGCATTTCAAGCCTCACCCCTAGTCTAGCCTCCCTGGACTCAGAACTAAACTAGCTGGCTTTGAGATGGACGCCTTGTCTCCTTTCTCTTGCCGAGAGTCAGCGCCCCCAAGGTCTGCCTTCTCCTCTATGCCTTTTCATTCTCACCTGCCCCCTCTTTCTCTGAACAAGGTCAAGAGCGGCCCTCTTCTGTCCTTGCTTTGAAAGGAGGCTGGCATCTGAGTGACAAGAGTGGCATCTCGCCTCTCAACCTTCTGGGCCGCCCCTCAGTGGCTATAAAGGACCTGACTGATGGAGATGAGAGCCAGGCAGCAGGACCGTCCAGGGAAAGGCAGGAATCATGAACTGAAGTGGCCTGCATATTTCAAAGGCCTGGTATAATTTAGCAATATGGCCACGATGCATGTAGCTAGGCCTTTGGCCCTCTTGGCTTTTTGTGGTGGTGGTGGTGGTGGTGGTGGTTTGTTTAAGCCTGTATGTGGGTCTTAGGGGGAAATCTAGTCATTTCAGTGAAGAATGTGAGAGCCAAACGATCGCTCCCAGAACAGGCAGCCCACCCCCACCCTCTTTTTTCATGTACAAGGAAGCTGAGTGCAGAAAGGAAGGGTGCTGCCCAGCTTGTTAGCAGAAGAGCCAAGATGAGAACCCACCCCTCGCGACTTCACCCCGTGCCATCCTGTCATGCTTGCTCACCCCTCTGTCTTCCAGGGTACAGGGGAGTGCGGGCGTGAGGCAGCTTCCTGGATCAGAAAGCAGAGTACACTTCACGTTCTTTTTGCTTCTAGTCAAACCAGGTAACGTGAGGAACATCATTCAGCATTTTGAGAACAGCCAGCAATACGATGTCCCAGAACCCGGGACACAGCGGCTCTCCACGGGAAGCTTCCCTGAGGACCTGCTGGAGAGTGACAGGTAGCAGTGGCTGGCCGTCCAGGGGGAGCACGGACGAGGTGTGCCACCAGGGCGTGCATTTCAGCACCATGACCCCTTCTTGCTGGGCTGTAAAGTTGACCCCCTAGGGCTTTGCCTCCCCCGGTGTTTCAGGTAAGGGTTGTTAGTCTGGGTACATTAGAGAAACAAATCCACAGAAACTCATATGTATAAGAGAGTTTTATATAAAGGGTAAGTGCACATCAAGAAAACATCCCAACCCAGTGCTGCACAAGTCCAACATTAGCCCATATGTCCGACACCAATCCACAAAGTCATCCTCCATCTCACAAAACACACACTGTAATGCCGACTGCAGGAGGAAAGCCTGATCAGTGAACGTTTAAGCATCTCAGCGCTGGCAGGGGTCTCCACATGGCTGCTCCAGCACTCAGGGCTGCATCAGGGTAGGTCTGTGTGACTTCTCAGGGATGTCTTGCAGGAAGTGAGCCTTGCCAGCTGAAGCAGGGAACTAGCTAAGGCAACTGCACCCTGGTCCGACCATCACAAAGCAAGAAACCCAAGAACTAGAAAGGCGAGGCTCACCAAACGATATTTCTCTCTCCGCCCTTCAATTAACCCCTCAGGTGTTTATCAGCCAGGTTGGCACAATAAACAACTCTCTCACAAGGCCAGCTCTGTGTATTGGTGAGCAGGCCAACTGGGAGGGCTGGCAGGCTGTGTGCTGGTGGTACGGATCCCCTGTGGATCTATCGCTGCAGTCTTCAGCAGCCTGCATCCCAACAAGGGACTGGTTACAGTCAACGCAGCTGACCAGGAAGTCCAATAGGACGAGTATAGAGCAGACAGACTTTTCTGGAGGACACAGGGGAGAATCTGGGAAAGAAAACGCCCAGGCAGACCAAAGGCAGTCTCTGCCTGCCTGTGATGTGGACGGGAGCCTGCTCAGGATGAGGTCTTTCTGCAGGTGGGACGGCGCTCCGAAGGCAGATGGTGTTCCATCCAAGATTCAGAGCAGGTGCTTCCCTCCCCTTCTGCCTCTCGTCAGTCTCTTCTGGTATTGAAATAGATGTTTGGACAGGCTAGACTGTGACGTGGCAACAGCCAAGTCCTGCCCGAACTGCCCTAGCCATTGCTCAGCGTGAAAGTTGCCTATGGTCAACAGTGCCCTTGCTTCGTGTGTGGGAGATAACCCTCCTCCTCTGTACACTCAGGTCTGTGAGCGAGCCCATGAGCTCGCAGGCAAACAGACAAGCCTGCCTGTAGCTGTGTAGGCATTGAAACTGTTTCCCCTCTGGGTTGATGAATTGTTAAACTAAGTCAAACATTCTTGCTTCTGTGTAAAATGCTCTTTCCAGTTTATAATCTTCATAGAGTTTGCCACAGTGAGAACAGACAGAAAATTAGCAAGAAGATAGGCTTAGGTTTGTACAGGGGTGGGAAGTTGAGTTTTAATATTGCTGAGGAAATTATTATATATGATGATTCTAGTAGGCTTGATGCTGTAGGTCTATCCTATAATGTGATACATCAAAACTTCAGGAAAGTAGTGAAGACCAACTTGTATTTGCAAACTTGTATTCTTGAAGTTGCTGCATAAATTTGCCGTAACCAGGACTCTAATTCTGTTGTAAGCCTTAAGATTCGATGATCATAAGCTAGTTGCAGCCTGGGGAGTAAGAAGTTGTCCTCAGCACTTCCAGTTTGGGAGGCTGTACCCTGGAACTTTGGCCAGAGGGGTCTAGAGTGCCTCACTTCCTGGGGCTTGGAAGAGGGGATTCAAAGAGCGGTTGGGTCGATGGCAGTGGGTTTGGGTTTCCAGTGTGGGCTGGGGTTGCTCCGACAGACTGGTGGAGGCGGCTGTTGGCATGGGAATGGGTTGGCAGTATGATTTCTAGCTCTGTTGGACAGACCCTCAGGACCCCAGGAGGTGAGCTCCAGTTGGAACCCCTGGCAGTTCTGGGAGACCTGATGGATGGAGACCCAGCCATTTGGCTCCCTCCTGGCAGCAAGCCTGCTGTGCAGTTCTCAGCTCCACAGACATCTCCAGGCCTTCTGCAGCCCTACGAGCAGAGCAGGAGGATGCAGATTAATAATAATGTCAGCAGCGAGCCAGCCTTGCAGGGGCCTGGGGGAGGCACATCCTGGGGCAGCGAGAGGTCTGAGATGCCAGCTGTCTCCAGACTGATACACTGCGGAGCTCAAAAAGAGCAAGAGCCAGTCTCCAGCCTCACATCAAGCACGCTGTGGGCAGCCGTGACAGCCAGGGGGCAAGTGTCTGCCCATCTGTCAACAAGTCTCTTGGGGTGTCCCCTTGAGCCAGTCTGCTCCCGCAAAGGGAAGTGGAAGCTTTGCAAGGGTTCTATCAAGATAAGAATGGGAGAAACCCGCATCACAACTGGAGGGGTCAGAATAGAATTTGGGGAGAACCCTAGAAGGAGTGTGTAGTGGTAGTGGCCTGGAGGCCTTGTCCAAGGAAAGGGCCTTTTCCAGCTGAGTCAAAGCAGGGGGCAAAAGAGAGAGGCTGCTAACACCCCAGGGGCTACGAGGCCAGTTCTTGCAGTTCTTGAGGAGAAAGAAACTGCTGTCTTGCTGGGATCCCTTCTCGATTGGTCAGGAGGAAGACGAGCGGCGCTGTCCATTGAGCGAGGCCAGCGTGAGGAAGGGATTTGTAAAACCACAAGAAGGGTTGGCTGGCAGTGGGCCAGGATATCAACCTCAGGGTCTCCCGTCGTTCCCCCTACCCCCAGTTCCCGCTCCGAGATCCGCCTGGGCCGCTCCGAGAGCCTCAAGGGCCGAGAAGAGATGAAGCGGTCTCGCAAGGGGGAGAACGTGCCGCGATCTCGCAGTGACGTGGACATGGACGCTGCTGCTGAAGCTGCGCGCCTCCACCAGTCGGCTTCGTCCTCGGCCTCCAGCCTCTCCACCAGGTGGGCCCCAGGCTCTGCCTGCTGACGTCCAGGGGGCAGTGGCTGAGCGTAGAGGCGCAAAGGATGCTGAGGACTGACATTCTCTCCCCAGGTCTCTCGAGAACCCAACCCCTCCTTTCACCCCCAAACTGGGCCGCAGGTGAGTGGTGGGCGCAGGGACGCCTTTGTTTGGGTCCCTGGGCCTGTCCCACTTGGCCGCTCCACCCAGCCCTGAGTAGCTGACTGGGAGTGCGTCTCCTCCTGGCCCCATGGTGTCCCCAGGGCGCAGGGGTGGAAAGGGCAGGGGCCAGAGGGACAAGCCCTGTGTGTGAGCTGAGCTGCCCGTTTTTCCCCCAGGAGCGTGGAGTCCCCCAGCTTGGGGTTCTGCACAGACATCCTCCTCCCCCACCTCCTGGAGGACGACCTGGGCCAGCTGTCTGACCTGGAGCCGGAGCCCGATGCCCAAAACTGGCAGCATACTGTGGGCAAGGACGTGGTGGCTGGGCTAAGCCAGAGGGAGATTGAGCGCCAGGAGGTTATTAACGGTGAGCCTCCCAGCCAGGCGGGCGGGGGCACCAATGCTGAGCACCTGAGGGGCAGGCCCAGACCCCTGCTGGAAAGGCCACCTCTGCTCTGTTGGTGGGCGATCTGAAACCAGTGGTTTGAGGCCCAGCCCCAGGGAGTGACTTGTACAGAGATCCTTGCTCATCTGTTTTCCTCCCTCCCTGCTCACCCCAACCCTACCCAGAGCTGTTTGTGACCGAGGCGTCCCACTTGCGTACGCTCCGGGTCCTGGACCTGATCTTCTACCAGCGCATGAAGAAGGAGAGCCTGATGCCCCGGGAGGAGCTGGCCCGGCTCTTTCCCAACCTGCCTGAACTCATCGAGATCCACAGTGAGGACCCGCCTCCCACACAGGCACTCCCCCCCCTACCCCCCCCAGCCCACCTCCACCCCCAGGCCAGGTGTAGGCAACACAGTATATAGTCTGGTGAGGGAGAAGGTGAAGACAACATCCCACGGCTGAGAAACCACCTTTTCCAGGCCTTTTCTCACAGCCTGCTGTGAAAACTCCCCTTTTCTGGTGACAGGGGCCTGGCAGTGCTCAGCCCCAGGCAGGTCTGTGTCTCCTCTCCTCGCCCAGACTCGTGGTGTGAGGCCATGAAGAAGCTCCGGGAGGAGGGCCCCGTCATCACAGAAATCAGTGACTTCATGTTGGCACGGGTATGGCCCCAGACTTGGCCCGCTTGTCGGGGGCAGGGATGATGGGGGTCTCGTTTCCCGGGGCGGGGACAGGTCCCAGGCAGGGGCGTCACACTGCGTGGGCATCCCTGTCCCCCTCAGTTTGACGGCCCCGCCCGAGAGGAGCTCCAGCAGGTGGCAGCTGAGTTCTGCTCCAATCAGTCGATAGCCCTGGAGCTGATCAAGACCAAGCAGCGCAAGGAGGGCCGCTTCCAGCTCTTCATGCAGGTACCTCCTGCGCTCGCCTCCCGCTATCTCCCAACGCCAGGCACCACCTGGCGGCTTCCTGAGCCCTCCCACAGCACCCCTTCCAAAGCACGGTGACACATGCACACGCTCAAGTAGAGGCCGCTGTTCTCTGAAGAGGCCTGACACCCACCAGTCCCTGTGTGCACGCCGATGGAGGGAGTCGCTCTCTGCCTGGCCATTTCGTCGTCTATGAGTAGGAATAGTGCTTGCCATGTGGCGTGTAGAGGAGCCCCGGTGGCACTGTGGGTTATGCATTGGGGGCTTAGCAAGTGGTCTGTGGTTTGAACCACCCAGCTGCGCTGATTGGGAGAAAGAGGAGGCAGTCTGTTTCTGTAGAGACTTGGAAACCCACAGAGGCAATTCCACTCTGTCTTGTAGGGTCGCTGTGATCGAGCCCACGGCTGTGGGTTTGGTTTGACTGATATAGGATATGTTTGACGATATTCTTAGGTGGCTGTCTCCTTGTCCCTGCCAGCCCTCATGCCACCCCAAATATTTAAGGCATAAGCTGCCATCACCGATTCTGAATGACCCATCTGGGATTAGGTACCATCTGACATGTTCACGTCCTCTGATCCAAAGCCTGTCAGCCATCAGCTGGCTCCCAGCCAGGCTGAGGCCTTCCTCTCCCCCGACTGTTCTCTCTCTCGCTCACTTGCCGTCTAGGAGGCCGAGAGCCACCCCCAGTGCCGGAGGCTGCAGCTCCGAGACCTGATCATTTCCGAGATGCAGCGTCTCACCAAGTACCCGCTGCTGCTGGAGAACATCATCAGGCACACGGAGGGTAGGGCACGGAGAGGGACCAGCGCCGCGTTGCGGCGGTGGCGGGAGAGCTGGGTGCAAAGCTTACGTCTAGCGGGACTGACTCTGTGCCTTCCACACACCACCTGGCCTGCTGCAGTGCAGGCCTCAAAAGAAGATCGTTGTGAAGGTGCTTGGGGAAGTCCGTAGTGCCCAGCAGTGGGAGCTGGTGGCCACCACTAGTCTGTAGGGGGCTTGGGGCAAAGCAGAGAAAAGCACTGTCCTCTGAATGGCCGGAGCCCCAGTTGCATCGTGGTTACCCAGTGGGCTAGAGTTCGAAAACCACAGCCCCTCCGCGGGAGAAAGATGCGCTTTCTACTTCAGAAAAGTGTTACGACCTCGGAGACCCACAGGGGCAGTTCCACCCTGACCTGGGGGGTCGCTATGAGTGGTCACCAACTGGAAGGCAGTGAGTTTGGGGTTGTTTGTGTGGACACGCAGCCTGGCAGGTGGAGGTGGTGGTGGTTCCGTTCCACAGGAAGACCAGAATCGGCTCAGCAGCAGCTGGTGTGGGTTTGGTTTCGTCCCCTCCCTACTCCACTTGTCCGTGAGGGGCAAGAAGACACAGCCCTCTGGTTGCCCTGAGAGGGTAGGGCCTGGCTGCGTGGGGCGCTGGCCCCCATCCTTGGGGGCCTGTCATCTTACCTCACCACACATCCAGGCATCGGTGTGCAAGCAGAGCTGCTGGAACTTGCACCTGGTTGAGCAGGCAGGAAGATCCCCCCCCAGCTCTGAGTTGGGCCCACTTCAGGTTTTTAAGGTTAGGCAACTGCAGCTTGTCTGGTCCTATTCAGATTTCCTGGTTTAAGGCCGCTGGTTCACTATGGGTACAGGTGGTGGTTCGATGTCCAGTGTGGGGCAGAACCAGGCAGCCAGGCCCTGCACTGTCCTGACTCTCACGGAGCCCACCGTGTCCCTGGCGTCGGTTGAGAGCCTTCCAGCCGGAGGGGCGGCTCTTTTGGCACTTTCTCAGCCAGTGTGCCTTATTCTCTGTAAGCTGTTCACAGTCGGTCCACAGGTCTTTCTTCCTCCTCTTAGTCTGGAGGCTTCTCTGAAACCTGTCCAGCGAGTGGGGGGAACCCTTCTGGTATTGAAAATGTGAGTGGCATAGCGTCCAGCCTCACAGCCACATACCAGCCAACACAGGAGGACGGACGGGGGTGCATGCAGGCCGTCTGACTGGCAGGCGGAGGCAGATCCGCTGATGATCTCCTCTGGCTGTTCATAGGTGGCACCTCTGAGCATGAGAAGCTCTGCCGGGCCCGAGATCAGTGCCGGGAAATTCTCAAGCATGTGAATGAAGCCGTGAAGCAGACGGAGAACCGGCACCGTCTGGAGGGCTACCAGAAACGCTTGGATGCCACCTCCTTGGAGAGGGCCAGCAACCCCCTGGCAGTGGAGTTCAAGGTAGGAGGAGAGGCAGCCTGAGGAGCAGGAGTCTGACCAGGGCCTGCAGAGTGTTGGAGGACGCATGCGGGGACCTGTTTCTGACCCTGATGGTGGTGAGGGCCTTAGCCACGCGACATGGCTGCTGCCACCTCATCCTTAGGTAGAGACGAGGACAGGCAGCCCACCAAGCACGATGGTTATGGGTTAGGGCGCAGCCTGGGGTGTGGAGGAAGGGTGAGCAGGTTGGGAACCTGAGGTGAAGATGGAGACCATGCAGGAGAGGATCAAGCTGATGAGTGGGCGGGGCCGAGCAGAAGCTGATTTCCTTAGGAAGGTAGATGGCATTGGTGAGGGTCTGTATTTCCCCCGCCAGCTCCACCCACTGAGAAGGTTCTCAAATGCTTGTTGAGCGCGTAAGTGAATGGTGTCTCCTTCACAGAGCCTGGATCTTACCACCAGGAAGATGATCCACGAGGGACCCCTGACCTGGAGGATCAGCAAAGACAAAACCTTGGGTATGTGCCGGGCCCTGTGGGGGGTGGGCTTCCCCTGGGCCCCCCCTCCCTGGGTCGTAAGCCCTGGAACCTCTTTCTCTAAAGGAGTCTGTGAGGCACCAGAGAAGCAGCTTGGAAGGAGACCTGGGCCTAGCCTGGGACTTCTTCAGCACAGGGAGAGGGTGTGGCCCCACTGGGCTTTCGAGACCTTGGGGCCATGCATCCCTGGTGCTCCTGAGGGGTTAGGGGGCCACAGGGAGGGCTCACCTGTCGGCCCGCGCCTCGCAGACCTGCACGTGCTGTTGCTGGAAGACCTGCTGGTGCTGCTGCAGAAGCAGGACGAAAAGCTGCTGCTCAAGTGCCACAGTAAGACGGCCGCCGACAGCAAGCAGACCTTCAGCCCTGTGCTCAAGCTCAACGCCCTGCTCGTCCGCTCAGTGGCCACAGGTACCTGCGGTCCCCAGAGGGACAGGGTGGACATGCCTAGGCGACTGGGATGTGGGCTCAGGACAGCTAGGCAGGGCCCCGAAAGGATGGGTGTGGCGGGAAAGAGACAAGCACTCCTGCTGGAAGAGGGGCCGGGGCGGAAACCTGCAAGCGTAAAGGCAGCAGAGAGAGAGAGGAGAGGGGAGAGGGGGATAGATGTGGGGCACTGGGAGAGGTGGAGTGCGGCATTGTCTGGCTCGCTCGCCCGCCCTCTTCAGCTTGTACTCCAGAGAAGCCCTGGGTTTGGGAAGTCATTGAGCCCAGGAGCAGCGAGTGGGTGTCAGCAGTCACTGTCAGAGCAGGCAGGGTCACGGACTGGCCGCGAGCAATGGCCTTAGGAACCCCAGGACAGCCTCTATCCCCTCTGTGAGTGGGACCTGGGGGGATCTTATGGCCCAGGTCTGTCTCAGCCCACATTTGTGCCTCATGCCGAAGGTCACTGTCCTGGCTAGGCTCGAAGGCTCTGCTGTGCCACCATGAAGGCCCTTCCTGCTTCCTTCCTCACAGATAAGCGTGCCTTCTTCATCATCTGCACGTCTGAGCTGGGGCCGCCCCAGATTTACGAGCTGGTCGCAGTGACATCATCAGACAAGAACACGTGAGATTGATTGCGGGGTCCCACGTAACCGCCGCCCCTGGGACCAGGGTGGTGTGTATGAGGACGGTGGGCACAGGGTGGGGAAGACGGGAAGGATGCCCTCAGGAGCTGTCAGGGTCACCTCCCCTGAGCCCTAAGTTAGAGCATGAGTGTCCAGCACCTTCCAGCCACTGTTGTGGCTTCTCATCAGCCCCCTTCTCTCTCCCCTGGCCCACCCAGCATGTGTTCTGACACGTTTGCCCTAGCCTGGTCCCCACAGTGACCGGCTGCGGGCAGGTGTGCGGGCAGGCGCTGCCATAGTGAAGGAGACGTTGTGTCCTACAGTTGTCAGCCTCTGGGGTCTGGCTGTGAAAAGGGACAATGAGACATGGCACAGAGGCTGGTGGTCAGTCAGTGATAGTTGTGAGAACAGCACCCCAGGAAGCCACTCGTCAGGACTCGGGTGGTGGACCCTCGCAGGCAGAATCGGGGCCAGCCTTGGAGAGGGCTTCAGAGCACAGGCTCAAGAGGGTCGCTGGGCTGCCCTGGCCCTGCCCTCACACCCGCCTTCTCCTGCTGCCGAGCTACAGATGGATGGAGCTCCTGGACGAGGCCGTGCGGAACGCCACCAGGCACCCTGGAGCAGCCCCCGTGCCCATCCAGCCGCCTCCGGCAGCCCACCCGCGGCGGGTGCCCGGCAGGTGCCATGCTCTGCTCAGGCCTCCCACCTAGCTCCCCTCCAAGCTCCTGCTGTCGGCTGCTTCTGAACCTTCACTGGGGTGCTGGGGGAGGGAGTGAACAGCCCCCAATAGGGAAATGCTGAGGGGGGAGCACCACATAACCCCGCCTCCTCCCAGACTGCCAGGGCCCTTCCTTGTTGGGGCTCCAGAGTGGGATTTTCCGGCCCCTCACCCTTGCTGCTTGCTTCCCTCAGGGTGGGACTGGATGAGTCAGAGGTGTTCCACAGGCGCAGTTCTGAACCAGAGCCTGAGGAGCTGCCCGGAGGTAAGGAGGCTGAGGTCGGGCACTGGTCCAGGCTGTGCAGACTGAGGGAGATGACAGAAACAGATCAGACTGAGCTCTGAGCTTGTGGGGGAAGCCACCCGGGGAGGGGGGCGTTGTGCAGAGTCAGAGTGGACTGGCTCGTTAAGCGGAAGAAGGGCATTCACCCACGAATGAGAATGAAGGGCTTACTGTGGGAACAAAGGCGCACGCAGGTAGAGGTGGGCACCCAGGGGCTGAAGACTGCCTTCCTGGGGTGGAGCTCTTGGGGACCCAAGTAGAATTCCCATGGAGAGTTGGTGTGTGGATTAGAGTGGGGTCTTGGCATGCACTCCCTGGCCAGGCCCGTCTGCACACAGCCTTCTGTCATGGTCGCTGCACCACCTGCTCTAACCAGCCCTCTTGAGCCCCACACAGTGGTTGGTTATGTCTGTTCTCGCCACAGCGCTCGGCCACACTCTTACAAACAAAATCATTGACGTGATTCGTTCAAGTCTCGCTAGACTTAGCCACACTCTTTTTTTTTTTAATCATTTAATTGGGAGTTCGTACAATTCTTATCTCAGTCTATACATACATCCATTGTGTCAAGCACATATGTACATTTGTTGCCTTCATCCTCAAAGCATTTGCCTTCTACTTGAGCCCTTAATATCAGCTGCTCATTTTCCCTTTCCCTACCCACTACCCCCTCCCTCATGAACCCTTCATAATTCATAAATTATTATTTTGTCATGTTACACTGTCCAACGTCCCCCAGGGAGGAGACTATACAAAGATTCTTATAATCAGTTGACTTAGCCACATTCTTAAAGACGAAATCTTTTACTTGATTCATTCAGATTCCACTAGGTTAAGCTCCTTGGCGTGTGTGCCTAGCACCTGGAACAGTACCTGCCCACCCTGTTCTCCAGCCTTACACTCCCCTCTCCTCCACAGCAGACCCCAGGCCCCAGCAGAGGGCCCGAGGGCCACACCCCATCCTGTTAGAGGACCCTGAGCCGGAAGGCAGTAGAGAGGAGGAGGGGCTTGGGGTCCTCCCTCACCTCCCCTCGCCCCTGGATGGAGAGAACATAGACATCGGGACAAAGGACCCCGTCCATGTGCCCCTCCCCGGCCCTCTGTTCACGGAAGGGCTCGCCGAGTCAGCTCTGGAAGATGGTGAGTGGCTGGGGGCCTGGCCATCAGCCCCTGGGGCCCCGTAGCATGGCCATTGTGAGCCGGCCTCCCTGCCCGCCCCCTGTACAGTGGCACTCACACAGCTCCCTGTGGCAGGGCGGGCAGCCATGGCACTGGGGTGGCCTGGGCTGTGCCGGGGCAGCCATCCCCCACTTCCTTCCAGTGGAGAGCCTGCGGCGCCTGATCCTGTGCAGCCTGCAGCCAAGCCCCTCCACCGGACCCCCAGCCACCGCCGAGCCTGAGGATGACCTGACACCCACCCCTTCAGTCATCAGCATCACCTCGCACCCCTGGGACCCTGGCTCCCCCGGGCAGGCCCCCAGTGTGGGCGAGGGGGGCACCCCCCAGTACCCCGGGCTAGAAGGTGACCAGCCAGAGCCGGAGGACATGGTGCCTTGCTCGCTGGAAGATTTGCCCCCAAGAACCAGAAACTCTGGCATCTGGGAGTCTCCCGAGCTAGATGAGGACCCAGCTGAAGAGGCTTCACACGCAGAGGCAGCAGGAGGTTACAAAGTTGTGAGAAAAGGTAAAACCCACTAGGGCTTTGCAGGGAACAGGTGGCCGCATTGCCAGGGTTGAGGCCCATCTGCCAGCTGCAGCCTGCCCCCCACCCCCCACCTGCTGTTGAAATCACTCCAAGGCGAGGTTCACAGCTGCTTCCTGTCTGGGTGGCCTCCCCATTCTACAATGTGGGGGTGTTACCTATCGCCTGGCCCAAATCAAGTGTCCATCCGCATTCCTGAGGAGGGAGCAGATGATAAACACACTCCCTGCCCTCAAGCCCACAGAACTGCCCCCGGGGTGAGGGGGGTGCAGTTCTAAGGCTGTAACTCTTCATGGGCATAGAGAGCCTCCTCTTTCTCCCTCTGAGCGCCGGTGCTTTCGAATTTCTGACACTTGCCATTAGCAGCGCAAAGCATAACCAGGTGTCCTTCGGGCAAAACGGTAGCACTCCGGCTGTCAGTCACCAAGGACGGGCAGCATGGGGCTGCAGCTGGGGGCAGAGGCAGATGGAAGAGGAGTGGCCCCAGGATGAGACTGGGGGCCAGGAGTGTGGTTGGATGGGTGAGGTGGCAGGGGCCCCCTGGGCCGTGGGCAGCATTGAGAAAAGCAAGGGGCAGAGACGCGTGTGAGCCTGTGGGAGGGAGGAGGGAGGCGGGGTCAGGAAGAAGCCAGAGGCAGGTGTGAGGAGTTCGTGAGAGGGGTTTCTTGTCCTCCCTCCCAGTGTTCAGCTCTGCCTCCTTTCCGCCCCAGTCTCTGGACGCTGGCCTGCCTTCTCTCTCGGTGAATGGTGGACAGTTCCCCGGCTCCCTGGGTTGTGATCATGTGCGAGCCTGTGTTCACTGTTGTTCTTCCCTTTTTCTCTCCCCCGCCCTGCCCCCACTCCTTCCTCCTCTCGCCCCTCTCCTCGCCCTGTCTCTCGGCCCCTCTCCCTGGTGGTGGTGGTGGTGGTGGTGGTGTCGGTGCAGCTGAGGTGGCAGGCAGCAAGGTTGGCCCTGCACTACCAGAGAGTGGCCAGTCAGAGCCTGAGCCTCCTGACGTGGAAGGCGGAGCAAAGGCTGCGGGTAATAAACTTCCCCTCGGAGCAGAGGCAGGCCAGGGCTGGAGTGTGGGGCCTGCGGGGCTGGGGAACCAGGGCCCCTCCTGCAGGCACGTGGGCGCAGGCTCTGCACGCAGGCACTGTGCCCCCCCCTCCTGGCTGGATGCTGGGGACTGGTGGGAAGTGGGCCTGTGCAGCCTTCTGATGCAGCCCTACGTAGCCCCTTGGTGAGAGTGGGACTGGCCCTTGGCAGCACAGTGGCTCTAGGGCCAGCGAAACCTAGCCTGGTGCCCCTGTGCCCAACACTGAGCAGCTGCTTAGCCACCCCAGCCAGGGCCCTGGGGAGATGTGCTTGCAGCACCTCCGCCCGGGTTCCAGGGGCTCTGCTGCCCCACCCAGGTCCTGGGCTCCTTCCTGCAGCCATCTTGCCAGCCGGCAGCAGAGCCTAGAGCAGGGGTCCTCAAACTATTTAAACAGGGGGCCTCAGACCCATTGGAGGGCTGGACTGTAGTTTAAAAAAAACTATGAACAGATTCCTATGCACACTGCACATATTTTATTTTGAAGGGAAAAAGGGGTGGGCAAAAACACCCGGCGGGCTGGATAAATATCCTTGGCAGGCCGTAGTTTGAGGACCCCTGGCCTAGAGGGTTGGTGAAATGGGGTTGCTGTCTGCTGCTCTTCACCCCGAGCCCCTGCCACTTCCTTTGGCACACGTTGTGCCGTGTTGGCCCTAGCCTGTGTCACAGAGCCTCATGGCAGGCTCTCGTGAAAGGAGAGGCTCAAGAGTAGACAGGGTAGAGCTGCCCTGCCTTGGGCCCTCCTAGGCCTGTTCTCAGTCTGCATGTGGAACGCCCAGAGACTGGGGGCTGCCTAAGACCCTCCTCACCTCCGTATCTCTCTCCCTCCCTCCCTCTCTCGTTCTGGGGCACAGGGAACTGTTTTTATGTCAGCATGCCAGCAGGCCCCCAGGACTCCACCACTGACCCTTCAGGGGCACCCACCAGCCCCTCCCAGCCTGACTGCCACCCTGCCTGGAAGCCTGGGCGCCCGCCCCCGCTTCGGGATGGCAGTGGAGCACAGAGATGCCCCAGCCATTTTCCTCCCAGCCTGGCCCTCAGGGATGTGGGCACAATCTTCCGCACCATCGAGCAGCTCACCCTCAAGCTCAACAGGCTCAAGGTGAGGGGAACAGAGTTTGGGCACCGGGGGGCCTCTGACTGTCACCCGAGGCCATGCCCTGTAAGTGAAAGCGCGTCTGGGTCCTGTCCCACCACGCCCAGCCGTCGCCTTCGCTGGCAGCTCCACCCCAGGGCCCTCGGGAGGAACGGAAGGCCTTGAGCACAGACTTTGCCTGCAGGACATGGAGCTCGCCCACCGGGAGCTACTGAAGTCCCTGGGTGGAGGGTCGTCTGGTGGCACCACACCTGTGGGCAGCTTTCACGCAGAGGCAGTGAGGTGGACAGACAGCTCCCTCTCACCCTCAGCCAAGGAGCCCCTCGTCTCGGACTCCAGGGACAGCCACGAGCTGAGGCTTTGCCCTGAGGACGGTGAGTGAAGCGAGTCCTAACTGCCCAAGGGGGAAGCCCACCAGTTAGTGAGGAGACGTGCCAAGCAGCAAAGGGTTGGGGGGAGGGGAAGGGTGGTACAGAACCATCGCCTGCACTCAGAAAGAAATCTAAGGAAGCCCACACATGGGTGCTGAAAAAGAGGCGACTTGGAATTGGCCCCCCTTTTTCCTTGGGCCATGAAGAAAGCAAATGGTTGGGGGAGGAAGCCAGGCCTCGAGTCTAAGATCCATTGGTGCTTCCAGGAGAGCAGTTGTTCGGGAACATGGGGCCCGAGGACCGGCAGAACCAAAGGTGTTCGCAGACAACAGCCTTTTCAGGCCCCATGAGAAACTTTAGGGACAGGGGAAAAGAGCGCCTTGTCACCATGGGTGACGCTGAAGGAGCCAAGGCAAAGCCCAGGATGGGCTCAGCCCCAAAGCCCATTGGTTCTTCCTGTCGCCACCCCTCCTGCAGGCGCCAACTCCCCGCTGGAAGACAGGGCCACAGCCACAGCCCCAGGACTGTGACCACCCAAACCACCAACTCCTCTGTGACCCACTCCTCCCTCAGACTGGCCTGAGGCAGGGGCCCGGGTGGGAGCCCCAGACCTGTTCCCCAGGGTGTAGCCATGTGGGGACTGGGATCCAGCCAAGGCCTGGGAAGGAGGCCCGCATGTTGCTTGGTCTGCTCGGATTGGAGTCAGTTTCAGTGTCTTTCCCCATCCTTCAGCCTGACCCCCGCCCACCCCCCAAGGCCTCTCCCATCTCCTAAGCATGCTGACTGCATCTGGACAGGCCCCCACTGACAAGTCTGCCTCCAAGCCCCACCTCCCTGTGGCCCCCAGACTTGCAAGCACGAGGAGGAGTCTTCTGTGTAGATGCACTTTGCTCCTTCCTCGCACTCCCAGGACCCCAGGGCTGGGGTGGGCTGCCTCCCCCATTCTCTGTCACTTTGGTTCCCTATGAATATGTATGTATTGTATGTGCATCTTCGCCATTGTAAATAACTACTGCCTTTTTTGTTTCTGTTCCTGGGGTGCTGGAGGCAGTTAGAAAGGGTAGCTGAGATGAGGGGGCCCCCTCGTATCTCCAAGTGAACAGAACTTCCTCACCACCCCCAACACCGGTCCAGCTCCAGGGTCAGGGCCAAAAGGTAGCCCTGTCCCCTGTGGGTGAGCGCCAGGCCCAGCCTGTGAGCTTGATGCTGACTGCTCCCTCCTTCCGAGATGGGAACACAGACCCTGTCTCTGTAGAAAACCCAGTGTGAGGTACAGAGCTGAGAACTGGCTCCCTGAAGGTCAGGCAAGGGAAAAGAATGCTGGGTTAGCCCAGGACCATCCCCGGGGCCCACAGCATGGGCCCCATTCCCACATCCTCGTTCCTCGCCCCACTACTAGAATATACACACTGTGCTAGGTGTATATATACATATATATATAAATATATATAATATATAAAATATAGATCAATGGAAATGACTGTTTTGCTGTTCAGATAATGTATACTCTTATTTTCTTCTCTTCATGGTTAATTTTTTGTTTTGTTTTTTTAAGAAAAGTTAAATATTCAACTGTGGTAGTGTGTGTAATTCTTGGAATTACTGCGAAAAAAAGACACTGGTGTTTTTTTCCCTGTGGACCGGGTGCAATTTCACACAACAGAATAATGATACCCCCCACACCCATCCCAAACCCTCATCCACATATTCTCCCAAGCGTGGGTTCACGAGTGCTCAGTGAACGAGACGCGCTGGACTACATGTGTTTGGTGCACATTCGTGCATGTGCAATGAACCAGCGTTGAGGTCCTCCCCTTTCCTGCTCTCACCTCCTGCCCCACCTCCCACAGGCTCAGACACCTCCCAGGAGATGGGGTAGCAGTGAGGCCACTTCCCCAGGACTGTAACCTCCGTCCATTATCACCTGTGAGTCTTCCTCTTTGTTGTTGAAGAATAAGTGACATTCTTTTTCAGCATGAAATATCTAGTATTTGATCTCAAACTAGGTCTGGCCCTCGCAGCGTCCAGTCTAGCTGCACGTCTGTCATGCACACGTCGGGGGCCAGACGGGGGCTTGTGACAGCTCTAGAAGTACTGGGGTGGGGGTAAGGAGACCCCATCCACACTGTGCTCAGTGATGGGAATCCAGGGAGGTGGAAGGTCTCCTCTGGAGAGGCTGACCAGCAGCTTCAGAACGGCGGGGCAGCGCAGTCTGGGGTGGGAGCACAAGGGCTCCAAGGCTGAAGGCCTAGGGAGCAGCAGCACACAGGACAGCGGGGAGGCCGAGACCAGGGTGCAGCATGAGGGAGCCGTGGACAGGTTAAGCCAGCCCAAAGCTGGGGAAGACGCCAAGCCCCAGTTCACCTCCACCTCCTCTGGCCTCTCAGGAGCCAGGCCCTTGCATTCTGGACACTGTCCACGCGCTGCGCACTGAAAGGCAGCCCAGAAGGTTCAGACGTGGGGCCCAGGTGTCTTGCTTCAGATAACTAACATCTCACACTGTCGTCAGGGTCACGTGGCAGGTTTGGACATGGTATTTAAATGGCAGTGAGCCTAGCAACCAAGTGGTCTGCCACTTCTGAAACAGTGTCAGAGACCTGGGCCAGATCCCACGGAACCGGCAGGGGAGGGACAAGCCCCTCCCAATCATACCCATTGACCCAGCCCAGCCCCTGCTCCTGTCTGCCTGAGCCTGTTGGCTGCAGGCACAGCCTGCAGAGCGCATTCCCTCTGGGAGACGGGCCAGGCTCCCTCCAGCAGAACTTGGAGGCCACTCACACCATCGCCGCTCCGCCCTTTCCAGCCGCAGGACCACACAATTGAGCCCGGCGCTTTCCCGGCTGGAACAAAATGTTCAGACCACCTCATGGGAACGTGCAGCTACCGCTTTGTTATTGGCCTGACCCCCCACCCCCACCCCGGGAGAGCAGCCCCCTCAGGGACAGGAAGGGCTAGACTGAGAAGGCCACGGCCTCCTCCTCCCGGGGCCTGGCCTTGTTCACAGGGTCCCGGGGCAGCATCAGCTCCTGGATCGTGGAGTGCACAGCGCATTGTGGGGGAAAGTAATTTTTCTGAAAGAGGAAAGGGCAGGCTGGCAGCTGAGGAGGAGATGGATGGATTAGGGCCTGGGGGACACGGGAGACTGGGCCGGAGGCTAGGTTGTGATCCAAGGAACTCCAGAAACACCTTGGGGATGGGAGGAGGCTGCCGGCAGCAACAGCGGGTGCTGGGAACTCACCGCCAGGGACAGCCAAAGCAGCCCCACAGGGCCTTTGGACGCCACTTTGGACTTGGAGACCTGCGCCTGGTACTGCACTGTGGCCAGGAAGCCCTCGAGCCCCACCTCCGTGATGCGGTTACCTGGGGGCAGGTGCGCACAGGCTGGCCTCGGACACCCCCACCAGAGCCAGCTGGCCTTCAGGCACAAGGCTAGCCCAGTGCCACCTTCCCAACCTGGTTTTCCACCCACTGCTCCTTTGACCACCCTCTCCTCCTTGACTTGGGCCCTACTCATAGCCCCATTCGAGAGGGTCTCAGACAACCCGATGCTCGCCCGGACCTGGGAGAACCGAGTAATGCCCCATGGGGTTAGGGGCACCTGCAGGGCCCGATGGGGCCGGCAAACATACGGAGAAGGTTGAGATGCAGAAGAACCCTGTTTCCCGGCATGAACACTTTTCCATCTCGGTGTACCACGGGCTCCAGGAGAGGGTTGACCATCTCCGTGGTTTCAGCAACCAGCTGTTGGGCAGAATACAAATGCCTGCCAAAGAGGAGCACTGGTGCAGAGGTCAATCATTCAGCCACATACACTCAAGAGATGAGGAAGCCACCCTCAAGAAGCACCTGGGCAGGGGGAGGGGGGTGTGGCGGGAGGGAAGGGGGACAGGACCAGCAGAGGAGGAGTAATGTGTAGTGTGACAGCAGCCAGCAGCAAGCTCAGGATGGTAGGCACAGGGGAGGGACATTTGACTGGGGGGGGTGGGGGTGGCAAAGCAGGTGAGCTACAATGAGAGCACTCAAATCACATCAGTGCCGACTCAGCAAGCCTGTGGGACAGGGTAGAACCGCCCCCTGGGTTACTGAGACTCAGGAGTAGAAAGCCTCATCTTTCTCCCACAGAGTGGCTGATGATTTTGAACAGCTGACCTTGGGGTTATCAGACCAACGCGTAGCCAGTATGCCACCAGAGGTCCTGAATGTGAGCGCCGCCAAGTGGACGTTATCAGATGAAGAGCAAGGGAAGTATTCCAGAAAAGGAAATGACAGACAGAGATGTGGGCATGAGAGGCGGGGAACAGCGTGTTGCATGCAGGTCTTGCAAAGTGTTCTAATGGCTAGAGGGCTGGAGGAGGGAGGGAGGGAAGGGGCACAGGAGAGCCCCAGATGGAGGCAACGGGAATCAGAAGGCAACACCCATTCCCTTCCTCCACTGGAACTGATTTTGTGAGCTCAGGCCTTGGGTGCCAGAGAAGACTTCCACACCAGGTTGTTCCCTGAAACGTCAACACCTCGATAAGAAAAAGACAAATCAATAATCCAACTAAATGGGCCGAGCCTCGAATTGACACTTCACCGAAGAAGACGTGGGCAGCCAACGAACAAAGAAACTGATCATTAGTGCCCCAAAGCTGGGCTCTGCCTTCAAGTTGATACCAACTCATAATCAGCCTATGGGGCAGGGTAGAACTGCCCCTGAGTCTTTTTCCCAAGGAGCAGCTGGCAGTTCCGAACTGCAGGCCAACATGTTAATAAGAAAGTTCAAAATTAAGTGAATGCCAGCAAGGTGTGGAGAGCCTAGAACTGGTGCACCCATGGCTCAATGGTGCTCCCTTAAAGCAGAGAAGGAAGAGGAACAGCATGTGACCCAGCAATCCCTCTATTTGGTATCTATTTTAGACAAATAAGGGCTGTGACATGAACAGATACATGCACACCTATGTTCATCGCAGCACTACAAAGGGGTAACCCCACCCCCCAGAAAACGGAATTTTTTTCCAAAGCTATGTATTTCAATTTTTTTACAAAACAACCCTATCACCTTCAAAGTACTCTCCATCACATGTAATACATTTGTCAAATCTATGATTCCATTCTTGGAAACAATTTTCAAACGCATCTGCTTGGATGACTGACAGCACCTCCCTCGTTATTTTCTTCACCTCTTCTACCTCCTCAAATCGCTGTCTTGTCATTCATTCCCAGAAACAAAAAGAAGCCACAGGGAATGAGGTCAGGTGGGCGGGGCGAGAGGGCTCCTGTTTTTTGCCAAAAACTGGTGCACTGCGATGGCTGTGGAAGCAGGTGTATTGTGGCAAAACCAGTCCCCCATCTGCCACAAATCAGGCCTTTTTTTGTTGTACACTGTTACACAGTCTTTTCAGAACCGCTAAATAGAAAGCTTGGTTAACAGTCTGACCTGGAGAATGAACTCCGTTCGAGAAGTTAACAGACAACCAGAAGGAGGTTTGTCATCAATCGACATTTCACCTTTTTTTTGACATTTCACCTTTTTGAAACAAGAAAATCGCTGGTACACCTGAGGTTTTCCCATAGCGCTGTCCTTGTAAGCTGTATTCAACATCATAGCATTTTATGCAGCATTTTTCCTGAGCAGAAAACATTTCCAGCTGCAGGAGGCTGTTAAATCGGCCATCACAAAATACAAGGTTCAAGTGAAACTGCTTTTGCCAAAAATTCACTGGCCAGAGAGAACCTTCCCAGGCAATGCCACTGGATGCACCAACTCAGAGCGAGTTACTGGATGCTTGCCTAACGGGAAAAGTGTACTATGAAAGCTCTGCCTAGCGGAGCTTTTTCCCCCTTTTTTTTCTGTTTTGTTTTGTTAGTAGAGGAGGGTACTCCCTCGTATTTCCAATAGCAAAGAAATGAAAACCTACCATATATGCCCGAATATCTGCCGAGGCACCTAATTTTACCACAAAAACGGTATTGAAAATGTGCTGAGAATCTCAGCTTATACTCACATATATAAGTAAATAAAAACTGCCCGGTGGCTGTGGAAGACGGGATAAAGAGACATTCACACGGGTACAAATTATGCAAGGTTGGAGAAGAAATCTATGAAGCACCCCATAACATGGGTGAACCTGCAGGGCATGATGCAGGTGAAATTCATTAACCACAAAAGGACAAATGTTTAAAAAAAAAAAAAAAGAAATGTATGAGACTGCTATTATTAAGACAAAAAAGTCAACAAAAATTCTTCATTTTAAAGAAGCCGCTTTTGATGGTTACTAGGGTGGGAGGGGAGATTACTGGCTAGAGGGCAGAGGAGTGTTAACTGAGGTGACGGCAATACTTGAGGAGGAGGTCAGCAAGACGTGATGGAGGCAGGGGGCCTGTGTGAGCAACACCGGAAATGCTGTGCATACACGGCCCTCCGTTCTAGGCTTGGGTGGATCCGTGGAGAGACCAGAAACCTCGTCTCATTCCACAGTGGGTTTTAATGTATGGTCATACACTCAGAAACCTCCTACTATTGCTAACTTTTTTTGCCACCCCATGTCCAGTTACACAACCCCTGTGGGGTCACAAACCACAGTGTAAGAAGCTCCAAAGACAATTGGGGTCTTAAGAGCTCCTGAGCAATCATTTAAGATGCAGCTCTGTCTGTGTGTGGAGGAGCCGCAAGGTGCACAGAAACAATCGGTCCACTGGACTCTGCACAGCCCTGAGACCAGAAGAAGCAGACGGTGCCTGGCCACCCTGACCACTGCTCTGACAAGAAGCACCTTAGGAGAGTAGGACAGAGCAGGAGAACAGACATGGAACAAAACTCACAATCAAAAGGGATGAGCAGGCTTACTGGGCAGAGATGGACACGAAAACCCACAGGCACACTGCACAACCATGGCTGTTCTCAGCCAAACGAGACATCTACGAGGGGAAGAGTAACACTAGGGAGGTGCACACACCTGAAGATGGTCAACCTTTTAAGACCAAAAGGGCAGCATTGACCCAAGGAACAGTTCAGGGGGCATGGAAACAGCAAGTGGGATAAGTGACGTTAGGTTGTGGAGGTTGCAAGCAGTGATGTAACGCAAAATGTATGTATGTTGTTGACTGGAAACGACTCTAAGCCTCCACTGTTCACAAAAAAAGGTTCGTTTTTTAAGTGAATTATATGCAAATAAAACTTTTTTAAGCCCTGCTTTCCTTAGGGCAGAAAATGAGATGCTTTGTAAGTAAGGGGCAGGTGGTAGTGCTGACCTAATGGCCCCTTGGGAAGCAGGTGGAGTAGAGACATTGACTCAAAAGTGTGGGCTAATCACAGAAAAGGAAGTGGGCTGGGCTGGGGCTTCATCTCAGGTGAGGTGGGGATTCCCACAGCATGTTCCAGGTGTGGCTGGCGCAGAAGCAAGGGAGGACATTTGAATGCAAGTGGCTGTTGCCGGGTGGAGACTTCCCTCCCGGAGGGGCTGAAGCAGCACCAGCCTGGAGCCCCACTTCTGCCAACAGCCTACCTCTGACTCCAGGAGGATGCTCCGCTTCTCTTTGCTCCCGGGCTTGATCCCCTTTCCCTTCACTGGCTTCTGCTCAGGGGCCGGCCCCTCTGGATCGGGAGGAGGAGCAGGGGGCACAGAGGAGAACTCTGACACCAACTGGGTTCCTTTTCTGAGGATAAAGCCACAGAACCCGCCCTCCCCCGGGAGATGAGGGATGGAGGGGGTTGGGTCAGTATGCCCTGGCAGGAAAGGCTGTCCCAGGGTCTCACTGTCAGAGAAAGGACGCCGGAGGGCATGACAAGAAGACCTATCTTGTCAGAACCAGGCGTGTGCAGGCCTCCAGCTTCCTGCCCAGTGCGCCTCCCTTTGCCTCTGGAGAGGCTGGCAGAGGGGCGCTCGAACTTACTCCCTTTGCCTGCCTTTGAGGCGTCTTCTTTCTTAGGGGTTCCTTGTGTGGGGGACTGCCCAGACCCGGACTTCTCCTCTTTCTTGACCACTTCCTGTAGAAGAGGTTAGAAGAGAAGTGAACGGTCCACCTTCCTGCGGGGAAGCAGCCTCTCTCCCTGTGTCCTTCCAGCACCCAAGGCTCTCTGGTCCCCAGGACACCTACCCCCGACTTCTCCTTCTTCTTTGCCCCCTGGCTCTTGAGGGTTTTCGAGGCCGACATCTTGTCTGTCTTGTCAGACAGTGCAAGGTTGCTGGCCCCGACGGCTTGATTCTTATCCCGGTCGGATTTGTAGTCCATATGTCGAGAGGAGGTAGGCTGTGGTCATAGAAATGAGAAGACAGAGGAAGAAGCCAGGGAGGGGGAGGGGAAGCCTTGGACCTGGGCTCTGAGTAGCTGGCCACCCCCACCACCAACCCCCCAAGCCTAAATCCCAAGAAAATATGGTTGAGGCTCCCCTGGGGTGAGGGGCAGTTGGAAAGAAACTGCAGAGGAGCCTGGGGGCCACTGAGGGAAGAGAGGCCCTAATTGTGAGGAGATAAATAGCAGCTAACGAATTCAGCTACGTGCCAGGCGCTCTTCTAAAGGCGACCTGAGAATTCATGCATTCAATCAACCCTCCCAAACCCCTCATGTGGAGGGTAGTTTGCATCCCTGCTTAACAGATTAGAAAACCGAGGCACTTGCTGGCTCTAGGACGAATCGGGTTTCAAATTCCGTCCGTTTAAGTCTAGCGTCTGCTTAGCCAACGTGTGTTAGGCAGTCAGGCCCAGGGAGAACATGTCAGGGCTAGGGGCACGGACCCGACAGCTGGCTGAGTGGCTCCTCACCGATCGTATTCGCTCCTGCGTCCCCTTCTCCAGCAGGAGGCGCCGGCGCTCCACCACCTCGATGTGGGTCAGCTCGAAAGGGCGCAGCACCTGGGCGAAGCAGGTCCTCCGCTAGCAGGAGCGTGCGGGGCGGGGCCAGCCCGCTGGTTACGCCCCTGCTCGGGCCACGCCCCGGCACACCCACCTCGGCCAGCTTCAGGGCTCCCTGGTCCTGGATGCGGTTGTGCGCCAGCGACAGCCAGAGCAGGGAGCGGTTCAGTCGGAGCCCCTGCGCAGGCGGGCGGGGAGTGAGGGGCTCGGCCAACCGCCCCAAGCCCCGGGCCTGCCCACTGCGCACGCACCTGGGCGATGTAGCCCGCGCCCTCGTCCCCGATGTGGTTGAAGCCCAGGTTGAGGGAGACAAGATTCTTGTTGCAGCTGTGCAGCGTGGACAGGGCCTGGCCCAGCAACTGCGCGCCGTGGTCGTCGATGTTGTTGTTCCGCAGAGACAGATGGGCAATCCTAGGGCAGGAGAGCAAGTCACGGGCACCGCAGCCCAGGGAGTTGGGTGGGAATAGGGAGAAAGACCGAGGGGGGCACAGGAGGGTCGGGCGTCCGGCCTGAGTTGAGGGTCCCTGGCTCGCCCTGTGTTGCAATCCACGCAATGTCAGCGGGTTTGCTTTGGCTAGGGAGCCCTAGTGGTGCAGTGGGCTAAGTGTTGCCCTGCTAAAGGAAAGGTTGATCGTTTACAGCCACCCACCAGCGCTTCTGCGGTAGAAAGATGAAACTCTGACGACCTAAGAGCCCTGTGGGGCAGTCCCGCTCCATCCTAGAGGCTCTGAGTGAGGACGAGAACATGGCAGTGAGGTGGTGGTTCCTTTGAGAACATGCTAGAGGGTGAGCATGGCTGCGGCAGAGAATGGCTTGTGGGAGGAGAGGGGAAGCAAAGGGAGTCTCACATGCTGTCCAATCCCATGAGCTTGTGATACGACTGCTCTGGCAGTGGGTTCCCCTCCAGAGACACCTTCCTGCGGGGGGTGGGGGGGGAGCTGAGAACCGGGGAACTTCAGAGGCCCCGAGGGGGTGAGGGGGCCTGGAAAGCAAACACGGGGAGTCGGGGACAACCTTCAGTAGAGTTGTATGTGACAGCTCCCCAGACTACGATGAACCCTTTAGTGTGACCATGAGAGAGGTCCTTGCCCAGAGTCAGTGACCTGTGGTTAGGTGGCCTCTGAGCTGGCCCACAATGACCCCACCTCCTGAGAGCCCTTCTGTGGTGGAACCCCTCCCCGTGGGTGGGAGCTGGACCTAGTGACTCGCTTGTAACCTGGAGAGGCAAAGGTAATGGGGTGCCCCTTCCCAGGGGAGGTGCCCCAAAGGGTGTGGCTTGCCTCCTGAGTGCTCCCAGAGCAAAGCTACCACGCACGTCCTGAGACACTCGACAGCCCATGTGCCAAGGACTACACCCACAGAGCCATTTCTGCCACTGCCACCAGGCTCCACAGGGCCTGCCCTGTCTGTTCCTCCCTCACTGGACGTGAGGCGGAGGACAAGGACTACATCTCACCAGCCCCTGGTGCAGCCCCAGGCAGCAAGGAGCAGGGGAGAGAAACTCTGAGTGGGGTGTCACCATGGGGGAAGGAGGACCTGAGACGGGGAGAGAGGGGGGGAGGCTCCTTGTTAGATGAACTTCAGGACCCAGCCTGATCCTATTTGGTCACAGGGCTGTCAGTCTAGGGCCACAGAAACCAGGGCCTGCCACCTCATACCAAACCACTCCCCACTGGCCACCTGGCTAAGCGCCCGCCCCTGGGGCCCCCCTCCGCTGACCTGAGTGTGGGTGAGCAGAGAGGCAGGAGGGCGATGAAGGTGGTCAGGGTCTTATCAGTCAGCCCCACCTTCCAAAAGCTGGAAAGACAGTAAGTACAGAAACAGCTGGAGCCTCCCCTTCCCAGGAAACCCAACCACCTCCCATCCACTCCGGCCCAGATTCCGCCCCCAAGCCCCTAAGGCTGCAGAATCCTCTCAGTTCTCTCCTGCATACCACCAAGAGTCCTATTCCCCACAGTGGCGGCCCACCCAGCCCCCGACCCCCAGCCCGAGACGGCCTCTTACTTGACGGCCTGCAGCTGGCTGAGGGCCGGCAGGCATTTCGAGAAGATGCCCAGAATGCGGTCCTCCACCTTCCAACCTGCAGACGC